GGGGTCATCAAAGAGGAAATCCTAAGATTCTATCAGGGGCTATACACAGAGAATGAGCAATAGAGACCTACTGCAAATTTTGATAATCTAGCATGCATCTCTACATAGGAGAAAGACTGGTTGGAAAGGGTGTTTGAAGAAGAGGAAGTAATAGCAGTAATAAGGGCATGTGCACCAAACAAAGCCCAGGTCCAGATGGTTACACTATGGCTTTTTTCCAGAAAGCTTGGGATATTCTAAAGCAAGACATCATGGATGCTTTAAACTACTTTCATCAAAATTGTTATATGGTTAGATCTTGTAATGCCTCTTTCATAGCACCGGTTCCTAAGAGGAAGATCTACAAGCCTCATAGGCAGCATCTACAAGCCTCATAGGCAGCATCTACAAGATAACAACAAAGTTACTAGCTGAGAAACTCAAATCAGTTATTGGGAAGCTCATCTAAGAGAATCAAAATGACTTCATCAAACAAAGGCAAATTACTGATGCAGCTTTGATTGCCAATGAGATGTTGGATGAAAGGCTAAAAAAGTGGAATTCCGGGCATCCTATGCAAGCTAGACATTGAGAAAGCATTTGACCAAGTCAATTGGTCGTACATGTTTTCAATGTTAAGGAAAATGGGATTTGGTGACAGATGGATAATGTGGATCAAATATAGCTTGACCACAGTCAAGTATTCGATTCTCATCAACAGGAGTTCAGTTGGCTTCTTTTCACCTAAAAAATGATTAACGCAGGGTGATCCCTTGTCTCCTTTCTTGTTTATCCTAGCTATGGAGGGTCTTAGCAAGATGTTGGACAAAGCAAAGCAACTGCAGTGGTTAGATGGTTTCAGTGTTGGGAGACCTCAAAGGAATGCAGTCTTAGTCTCACACCTCCTCTATGCGAATGACACATTAGTTTTCTGTGGAGCTGGAATATCTCAGGTTCAATATCTTAATCTAACTATGCACATTTTTGAAGCTATCTCTGGACTACATATCAACATGGCAAAAAGCATAATCTACCCTGTAGTGGTACTGGTTCCTTGGGAGATCTAACTTGATATTCTTGTAGTGGTACTGGTTCCTTCCCTTCAACATACTTGGGCCTTCCATTGGGAGCTAAGTACAAGTCTACTGCAGTGTGGAATGGTGTGATAGAGAAGGTAGAGAAGAGATTAGCAACATGACAACTGCAATATCTATCAATCGGAGGCAGGGTAACCTTGATTAGTAGTGTAATGGACAACATACCAACCTATTACATGTCAATATATCCTATGCCCAGCAAAGTGCTCAAACAATTGGACAAACTTAGAAGGAACTTTCTCTGGAAGGGGAATAATGAGTGTCATAAGTTTCACCTGGTCAAATGGGCCAAAGTAACTCAACCAAAGGACCTTGGAGGGCGTGGAATAAAAGACTTGGCAAAACACAACAAGAGTGTGAGAAAGCGCTAGAGAAAAATCTATTTTTAACAATGATACAATAAGCCCTATATATAATACATATTCTACTCCTACTACATATGAGACTAGGACATATTCTACTCTTACTATATATAGGACTAGGACTATTTACACGTAACTATCTAACAATCCCCCTCAAGCCGGTGCATACAAATCATATGTATCGAGCTTGTTACATATGTAACTACTGCAAGGCCACTAGGCTCCCCCTGAGCAACAAAACCAAGTGGTTGCTGATAAGCAGAAGTTGACCGAAAGGTCGTTGGAAAAATTTGAAAATAGTGAGAATAAGCCGAATTCTCACACTACAAAATAGGTTTTAAAACACCTCAAGAAAACAAAAACTTTTATGAAATTACTGTTCACAACGGGAAATCACTATTCACGCCGAAATAAATAAAAGTTGTCAGAATTTGATGTAATTTATATGGGTAGGCTCGGAATAACTGGACGAGCAAGTTGTCCCGAAGAAATTTTTTCAAAAAGTGGCCGGAATGGATCACACGCATTGGAAAAGTTATTGTAGCTCACCGGAACCCTAATTCTGGCGGCGCGTGGAAGCGCGTGCTTTCTGCCGGAGCGATTGACTGAGGTTTTGTTGCCTGACTTTTCTGAACAAGATGGTAGTGTTGGTTTTCGCGCAACACTTACCGATGAGGAGATAACGCAAATCAATCTTAACTCGTCAATCGGACAGACGCACGGTGACTGACTTTTCTGTTCAGATGTGACTGAAATTTTTGGGATTTGGTCGCACAAGGATTTTGGATCTGATGGTGGTACTAATATATGCATAGTACCACTGTAGCAGTGATAAACTCTGGGAACAAGACGAAGTTGCCGGAAAATTGCACGGCGATGAGATCTTTCTTCCCGGATGTTGTTGGAATGACGCACGACGATAATTTTCTCACTGAAGCTGTGATACCATGTGCGAAAGCATGGGAGAAAAATCAAGTTTTAACAATGATACAATGAGCCCTATATATAATACATATTCTACTCCTACTACATATGGGACTAGGACATATTCTACTCCTACTACATATGGGACTAGGACATATTTTACTCCTACTATATATAGGACTAGGACTATTTACACATAACTATCTAATAAAGAGCATGCTAATGAAATGGCTTGGGAGATTCGGGGAGGAAGACACCAGCCTATGGAAGAAGGTGGTGACTGCTAAACTTGGACAACAAAGCCACTGGTGTACTAAACTCAGCAGGTCTCCTTATGGTGTTGGCCATGGAAATACATCAGTAGCCTTTGGGAGGATTTTTCACAGAATATTTCATTCAAGGTGGGTAATGGGTTACATGTTAGATTCTGGAAAGATATCTGGTTGGATAGCTGCCCACTAGAAGAGAGCTTTCCACTGATATTTCAGATTGCTAGTGATCCCAACTCTATAATAAGTCAATACAGATCAGGAAACTCATGGGTCCCACTTTTCAGAAGGAATATGCATGACTGGGAGTTGGGTAGTTTGCTTACATTGCTTGGTAGACTGGGAACCTTCACTATGAATAAGCAGAGCCCTGACAGAATTAGATGGGTTGGTTGTGAGTCAAGTCGATATTCAGTGAAGATGGGCTACAGACACATGTGTGAGCATAATGGAATCATTGACTCGTGGCCATGGAAGCTCATCTGGAAGACAAAGCTTCCAACAAAGGTTATCTGCTTTACTTGGACTGCACTCAAAGAAGCCTGCCTAACTCAAGACAATCTCTGCAAAAGGAGCTTACAACTGGTAAATAGATGCTACCTATGTCAGGAAAGTTCTGAGTCAATCAACCACCTATTCTTACATTGTCCAGTGGCAACAAACATGTGGTATATGTTTCTTTCTATCCCGTGAATAAGCTGGACACAACCACAAGCAGTGGAAGGTTGGAGCAGTTGGAAAGTTGAAAGGGCCATCAAGAAAGTCTGGAAGATGATCCAACATGCATTCTTTGGTGCCTTTGGCAAGAAAGGAATCACAAATGCTTTGATGGTATTTCTACTTTTATACATGCTCTCAAAGCCAAATGCCTTGTGCAACTATTTAGTAGGCCAAATTCCATAACTTACAACTTTCATATGAAGTCCCAAACTTAGGAAAAGAATTAACTTATGAATAAGCATGCTTTAGACGCGCTTTCAATCTATCATTTATACGTTCGCGTGACATAATCATGATCCCAAAACAAATCAAAGTACGCATTCGCGCGACTTTGGCCAAATAATCTTAAAAAATACTAATTAAGTGTTATTAATTATGTACACATACGCGTGACATGATTTTGACACACCGAATTAATATGGACTCACACATATGGGATTCGTTCCAAAGATAATTGATAGTTCCATAATAATTCAATTTCGGTAAAAGAATAAAATACACATAGGTTTTCTTTTAAAAATACGTAATAATCTGTTAATTAAGCCAAGTATGAATGTAAAGCGACCGTGCTAAAACCACCGACTCCGGGAGTGCCTCATATTCTTCTGGGTTAGCAGAATTCCTTAACCGGTTTTATGTGTTTCGCAGACTTAAACAAAGTCAAATTTCCTTGAATTGAGATTTAAATTAAATGGTACTTGGGACACCGTAAATAATTATTTCAGGTGGCGACTCTTTAAAACAAAATAAATAATCCCATTTCAATAATGTCACTTAAAGTGGAAAAACTCATTTTCCCCGTAAAAAGGAGGTGTGACAACTCCGTTGGGGAAACGAACCCAGAACTTCTGGTTCAGGGTTCAGAATTCGAGCTTGTAAGGTGATTTATACTTGGATTTACTGATTGGATGTTATTACTGTGTTTGTGGGCCTAATGTGCTAATTGTCGCTCATTTACCGCTTTGATATTATTTGAACTGTATTAGAACTGCTTTCTTATGCCTCCTTTCTAAGTCTTCTGAATTTATGGTGCACACGTGCGCGTGGCCCACTTTTCTGTTAGAAGTCGCCCATTAGAACAGTAACTACGCCAGGTAGACTTTTGCGCTCCCAGTACGTTGCTCCCACCTCGGCTCGAGTTGTCCGCTTGGGTAAGCCAGGTCTAAAACACTCCCCCAAGGATTTTAACTTAAAATAACATAGCCTCATACCGGATCCCTAGTAGGAACGTGAGGTTTCAATGTTTTCTTCTGCCTTTACTTGTCTTTTCAAATTCAAAGGAGCAGGTAACATGCTTGAACTCTAATATTTTGAATGTCTTGTCTGTAGCATTTATTCATATTGTTGCTTTGTGAGACAATCAGCCGGTCCCTGTTTGATTTCTGAAGTTTTTGAAGCCTGTTTGACTTGAATTTTCTTTCGCAGTCTTGCATTTCACATTCTATAAGTTGCTCGTCTCTCATAATTAATAAGGTTGTGAACACCGGCATCGTTGCATGTCTCGATGATAGTTTTCATTTAGCTGAATATTAAAGAGACAATTCAAATATACATATGGATTTTATTTCCAATTTGTTAAACTAAGTTATCCATCCAGAAAATGTGAGTTATCCTTTTGGTTCATTCCAAAATTTGAACTTATTTGACAGGGACGTGCTTTATATCATATATCCAAAGCTTTCAGTTCTGCTGCTTCAAAGTTGGAAAAGACCGGATATGGTATATCTTGACATCCCTTTCCCCCCCTTTCTTGTGCTTCTCTTTCTTATTGTGTTTTCTTGGGCGTGCTTCCCTGGGGCTTGTTGGGAGGGGGAGGGGGAGGGGACCAGGGACTTCTCTAATGAGAACCTGATGCTGCCAATATCAAAAAGAGTGGCTGGAGCAATGTTATTGGTGGTTTTGTTTTAGCGTCTCTATTGTGTGTTCAAGATAGTCATCTCACTTAAATGTCTTCTGGTGAATGTAGAGTTGCTGAATTCCTTTTTTCCATTTCCATTTGTCGTATTCTACTTGTGTTTGTTTTAGTCGATTGTTCAATAATAATTGAATGCAACAGTCTTTGCTTTTGGAGATGGACTGAAATGATATGTATCACCCGAAAATTATGATGTCAGGTGCTAGTATATCATGTGGTGTAATTACTCTTCATATTTCATAATGTCCATCCAATTTTAGACTACATAGGTCACTCAGTTCTAGTTTGATGCTCTGTGATTTTCAGGCTATTTGCTTGTTCAGTTATCTCCATGACTCTACTTTCCAATTTTGAAGAAATTCCCCTAGTGTAAATTGGCCCAAATTTGTTGGTGAACACTAATAAAATGGATGAGAGAAGCCCCTATAAGGCTTAAACTCTTGTCAAAAGACGCCCTATGTAACATCAGGCCTGACTTTGGAGGTGTTCTTATATTCTTCGATATGAACGAGGAACAGGATCTGTAACAACCTGTGTAATTTAGATGAGATAAGTTTTTAATTGATGTGATTAAAGACAACCTTAGGCACATTATGCTCTACTCCCATTCTTGATTTGGTGCATGGAAATGTTAATGTCTGGGCAAAATATAAATTATTTGAAGTTATGTGCTCTTTGCCATGGTGATGTTTGTGACCATTGAAAACTAAACAAAGTATGTTCTGACCCTCCTCCTTCCTGAAGACCCAAAAGGAAAAAATGAACAATGGAAAGCATTGAAATTGGATTTCTTGTTACAAGTGCTTTAGTTCCTTGCAAGGAACTGCATTCTTGATTGCCACACATTGCCATTTACTTTTCTTCCTGAAAAGCTGGGATCGGACCTCTATGTATATATTTTAATTCATGGTTATGTTTTGACTAGAATAGTTGAAGTTCGACTTGAATCTCTCCATCAAAGCATCAAATCTTATGCGTAGATTGTTCAGGTCAATGATTTATCATGCTCTTCTTTATGTTTAAGTATAATGCTTTTATATTCCATAATTTCATTCCGTTCTGTGTGCTTTGCTTTAGCAGTGGCTGGTGAAAATGAGAGTGAAGCATCTGAACCTAAGCCTGTTAAGGAGACCATTGACTTCAAGGAACTTAAGCGAGTTGATCATATCCTTGCTTCCCTACAACGAAAGGTAACTGTCATGTCTTAAAAAATGTAGTCTGTCTGGATGGTGCTTTTGACCTCAGTTGTCATTACCTCTTAGCTCAGGTACTTGTCTAGGCTGTGAAGTTATTATTATGGAATCTAATATTTCATTGAAGGTTAAGGTTTTATGGTACATAGTTTTCTGCAACATTTGTCATATGTTTTTAATTGACAAACTTGATCTTTTTGCAGCTACCACCAGTACCTCCACCCCCACCATTTCCGGAAGGCTATGCACCACCTTCCACAGCAGAAGCATCTGAAAATCAGCAAGCAGAGACTCAGTTGCCTCCAGTTGATCCCATCATCGACCAAGGCCCGTCTAAGCGAATGAAAGTGTGAAATGATACTGTCTAAGCAGTTAACTGAATATTTCCTGCAGTTAGTGGCTACGAGACTTCTACAACGAAATGGTCCAGAGTCATCCTTAACTTGATAGTAGATTTTTCTGTATACTATGTAAAGTGTTAAATCTTTATCTTAGGTCAGAACTTTCCATGTAGATCCTGTCAAGGATATAGTTCACCTGTAGGCTCTTTGGCCTTGTAATGCTGTTACATTAGTTTTCAATCGTGTAAGTTTACCCGAGCTTTCGTATTTTGGAACACACTTATTGGCTCAAATACTTTAACAAATGCTTTCTTTATTTGGAAGTTGGAATGTTAATCAAGGTTGAATTTGAGGAAAATAAATATTTAATGGAAATATTGAGGAAGACGTTTATGCCTGAGAAGTAGTGCCAGGAGATTATATAAAACAAAATTGTGTCTGGTTGTACTTTTCCTGAATTTTTATGCGTGTTTATTTATTTTGTATAGTAAACAATCACCTTTCTAAAAAACCTTTTGTTACACTCTCCTGGAGAACTTGTAACAGCGCAATAAAGGGCAGTATGATGCATAAAGCATCCCGCATTCATGCAGAGAGCGGGAAGAGCCGCACCCCAAGGAGTGATGTAGATAGCGTTACACAAATGCAAGCAAAAATGTGTCTGGATGTACTTTTACTGAATTTTTATACGTGTTTATTTTGTAGACCAAACTATCACCTTTCTAGAAAACCTTTTGTTACACTCTCCTGGAAAACTTGAAACAACACAATAATACACAATTTGGTACACAAAACATCATGCATTTACGAAGGATGCAGAAAGGGCCGCACTCCAAGGGGGTGTGATGTAGATAGCATGCACTAATGCAAGCATTACCAACTGCTTCCACGGCTTAAACCCGTAACTTATAGGTCACATTTACTGTTGCTCCAAGGCTCCCTCCACTTAAAAAAACGCAATCCTAAGATATAATGGCGTCTCGGGCTAAATGGAGTTTTGACACAACTATGTCACTGTGAGGTTAATGAACTTACCAATTCCTAACTCTGACAGTTTCAAGCTGCCCTTCCTGTCCTCCATCTCATCCACCACCAACTCCAAATTTTCCTCCCAATTCTTAGTCATCAAGATCAAAACGAACATGAACTTGTCGAATCTTTGTTCCTTTCATGTGTCATGGTAGGTGACGAATCAAATCTGACTCTTTCAAGTAGTGCTTGTATAGGTCAAAATATGCCCTAGAATATTTAGGGTAATATAGCATTAAGGAAAGAGTCAGTCGAGGTCGATTAGGAAACGACGAGATTCGTGATCGAGATGTTAACAATGACCGAGGTCGAGCACCGTTGGCAGAGCAGTAACGTCCGACTAGTTTTTGAAATAGGATATTAAAGTGAATATTCTCTTCACTTGTACTATTAGGGTTTGTTAGGGACATGTCTCGTATAAATAAAAAAAGAGATAACGGTGTAGGGCATGTGATATTCACTCGATAAGAATAGTTTTCAGAAGAAGATTCTCTCTCTAGCAAAGATACAAACATTACCTTTTTATCAACATTCTTGCTCATATTATTTCATACTTTTCCATCAGATCCGAGAATAGTTCGAACATTCTAGGATTTATCTGTCACACATCATTGTCAGGAGGAATAATCATCTAACTCATTCATTATTGGGTGAATCATTCCTTTTATTTACTTAAATGCCATTTATTGTTATTTATTGCTAGTTACTCCTCCATTATTGCTCATGCTTTGGAATATTTAATGCACGATATTCTTAATCCTCCACTGGATCAACCCCACGTTATCCGTATTTTCAAAATCCACGTTTAGGAATTATTAACTAGGTTTAACCCAACATTATATAAAATATAAAGGTTGAAATGAAAGTTATACTTTTTGGTTAAACAATTTGGCGCCGTCTGTGGGGATTTCCTAGTTAAATTTTTAGTTTCCTCTAGATTTGCAACTAACATGGATTGCTAACGTAAAAAAAAAGACCAAGAACAAGATTCCCTTTCTTTGTATACACAGATCTAATATGGCAGGTAACAGAGAAGAAAGAGTGAGAATAATGAGCGACCTCCCAACCAACCTCATGAGCATCATCAATGAGAGCTCTGAAGCAGTGGACGAGGACACAACGCTCAATGCCTCCCCCAGGCGAGGCGGGTCACCCCTCCTCACTGTAGCATCACGAAATCTATTGGTAAGGGAGCCTCCACATCCGTGATGGAGGAGACGCCACCAGCAATAAAAAGGCTCCTTGAGGCTTGGCTAACTGATACGCTAACCAGCGTCCTCCATAAGCCCGTTCGGGACGCGGCTACAGAAAGCGCAAGGACTTGCGTTATACCACCAGCAGACGAGCAACATGATCAACTTCCTCCTCCGCCTGCAAAAACAGGTATTACTCAAATGTTGTTAACAATGCAGGTGACGACACTCTCGCGGCCATTCTGAAAAGGATGGAGGAAATGAAAAATGAGAACAAGGTACTTCGGGACCAAATTAGAGAACATCAAGAAAGGGTCGACAAAATACGGGGCGCTCCTAAGCTCTTGCCAAAGAGAGATGCCGGCCGGTTCGTAGAGTAGTCGTACAATGATGATGCCGCCCCACATGCCATACCAAAGACCTTTAAAAAGCCACCTTACCTAAAAATATACGACGGCACGACCAACCCCGAAGACCATGTGACTCACCACGTCACCACCGTGAAAGGCAATGACTTCACCAAGGAACAAGTATCCTCCATCTTGTTGAAACTATTCGGCGAGACCCTTAATGGAGGAGCACTAACATGGTATCCGCAGCTGCCCGCGCGTTCCATTAAATCATTCGAAGAAATGGCCGACAAGTTCGTAGCGGCCCATCCTGGGGCCAAGAAGGCAGAGGCAAGAGTAAACGACATATTCGCTATCAAACAGTCTCCGGGAGAGGGATTGAGGGACTTCCTCGCCCGATTCAACCGAGTAAGGATGACCTTACCGAATGTATCGGAAGGGATGGCCGTCGCAGCCTTCTAGAACGGGCTGAGAAGAAATGGTTCACGGGCAACAAAAAAGTTATTAAGTCGACTTATGAAGTACCCCACGACAAATTGGGATAAAATACACAACGTGTATTGTGCCGAAGTCCGAGCAGGTGAGGACGACCTTAATGGGCCGACTCATCGACTGACCTCAGTACAAGCCGGGCCCAGAAAAGATCGAAGGAATGATATTAGGAGGGACCTCGTAGATCACGATCCAACAGGGAGCGACATCTACCATACGTCAGAACCGCCATTGCATCCTTTTCTCGCCACGAAGTGGGCCCATCCCGATCAAGAGCAGGGACTCACCGGAACGAAAGAGGTATGCCCCCTATTATCTGCTCATGATTTTTGTATGTCACCTATGGAAATAGTCTACGCCATGGAGATGCTCCGAATTAAGGTGAAGTGGCCACAAAAGATGAGGTCAGACCCAAAAATCAGATGCCCTTGCGGGTTCCACCAAGAGCGATGACACAAAACTGAGGATTACATCGCCCTAACACAGGAGGTCATAAACATGCTACGACAGGGACACCTCAAAGAGTTGCTGAGTGACCGAGGAAGGACTAATTTTTCCAGAGGACGTGAACAACACAAGGACCGCCAAAACTGCCCTCGCCAACCCGCACCATCCACATGATCATTGGAGGCAGCGATGATGCTTCTATTAACAATGTGAAATTCACCACAACCCACAAGCTTAAACGGTCAATCACCCACATACAGTATGATGAACTCGAAAAAAGTATCATCTTCGATAAGTCGGATATCAATGGTTTGTCTTTCCCTTGCGATGATGCCCTTGTTATCACTTTACGAATTTTAGATACCGATGTGAGACGCATTATGGTAGACGATGGAAGCGGCGCATGCATTATCCACCCTCGAGTTCTTGCACAAATGAAATTCGAGGATAAGATAGTACCGCGTTGCATCACGCTAACAGGTTTTAACAATGCAGTTGAGCGAACATCCGGAAAGATCACATTCCCTGTCCTAGCCGGTGGCATCACTCTGGAAACCACATTCCATATCATGGACCAAGACATAGCATACAACGCCATAATAGGGCAACCATGGATACACACCATGAGAGCCATCCCCTCCAGCTTGTACCAAGTCATCAAGTTCCCACATCCCGTGAATGTTACCGCATCGCTCTAGACTGCACGATCACTTAACAAACGAAGGACAAAGAAAAAGAGGCATAGCAATCGACGGGGTTGAGGTCGAATGAGCACGTCATCAAAGACCCCGATGCGGTTGAAGCCGCGGAATTGACCATAGAAGACCTCGACCCCGTTCAATTAGACAGCAACGACCACATCAAGAAAGCTGCTGCAAGCTTCAAGAACCACGTAAATTTCGTCAACTCTTAACTACTAACACGGACTTGTTTGCTTTTAGCCATGCAGATATGACAGGTATCCCAAAGGAAATCAACATGGACAAGCTGAACGTCGACCCATTCCACCCATCGGTAAGGCATGTTAGGCGTAAGTTCAACTCCCCAATAAATATGCGGTATGCAAAGAAGTCAAAAAATTATTGGAAAATGGCTCTGTCAGGGAGTCAAAATATCCCCAATGGGTGGCCAATGTAGTCATGGTAAAAAAGAAGAACGGTAAATGGAGGATGTGCGTAGATTTCACAGAATTGAACAAAGCATGCCCCAAAGATTCATTCCTGTTACCTCACATCGACCAACTCATCGACGCAACGACCGGGCATGAACTACTGAGCTTCTTGGACGCCTATTCAGGCTATAATCAAATCCTCATGGAATAAGAGGATCAAGAGAAAACCACTTTCATTACCCATCAAGGGACGTACTACTACAGGGTCATGCCCTTCGGCTGAATAATGCAGGGGCGACTTACCAAAGGTTAGTGACGATGATGTTCAAAAAACAACTCGGTAAAATGATGGAAGTCTACATAGACGACATGCTAGTCAAGTCCAAAAGGAAAGAAGATCACATCGACCACTTAAGAGAAACCTTTGACATACTCAGGCAATATGGAATGAAACTAAACCACAAAAAGTGTGCATTCGGTATGGCCTCAGGAAAATTCTTGGGCTTCCTAGTGTCACAATAAGGTATCGAGGTCAACCCCGAACCAAATCAAAGCCATGGAAGGGATACCAGAGCACTTGACCACGAAAAAATAGGTTCATAGGTTGACTGGCTGTATCGCCACCCTTATGAGGTTCATTTCGCGATCATCTGATAGGTGCCACAAATTCTTCGGCATACTCAAAAAGGATAATGATCTCCAATGGACCTCTAAGTGCGCCCAAGCCCTAAAGGAGTTGAAGGCTTATTTGTTGTCACCACCATT